CGTTAGAACAATTATTCTAGTGGATAGCACTAAACAGAACACCAGGTTTAAATAAAAAATGGGAAAGAATTCCCCCAACACGCTTATCTAGATGTTTGATCAATGTGAAAGCTTTAAATGCTTGGACTGAGCATATAACTAAGCAACTGGTGCAAACACAGAAAAAAAGTACTATAAAAATGCATACAGCTCAGTCGGGCATGATCCAAAAAAAGGCTCACTGTGAAGAGCTTTTTATTTCAGTCATAGTCTAGCTGCACAATAGACACTGAAATGATTTGTCAATGAGGGCGTGCATACGTGCATTTTCAGTGTCTAACATGCAGTCGTACTATCACTGACTTGAAAAACTCTCCATAATGAACTTGTTTTTGGATCATGTTCCAGTGAGCTGTGTGCATTTATGCTGACTTTCATTTCTCTCCATTGGTATGTGCGCCAGCTGCCTAGTTATATTCTCAATCCAGGTATTCTGCGTTTGGCTTATTTTAAGATTTAATATTCATCAAACATTTGATGTTCAGGGATTTTTTTCCTATTTTTCATTTAAAGCTGGTTTTCTATGTAGCACTTTCCAATAGAAACATTGACTTCTCATTTTAATTGACATAGCTTCTATGAGAGTAATTTAGGGGGTTCAATATGGTCAGGGGCAGTGCATTTCTGCTTTGCAGTGCTGAGACCCTGGGTTCAATTCCTTGGGTGCTGTCTGGGTGGAGTTTGCATGTTCTCCCCACCTTCATGTGGGTTTCCTCCAGGTGCTCCAGCTTCTTCCCACTGTCCAAAGCCATGGTGGTAGGTGAATTGTCTTCTGGGAAGGTTTGCTCTGATGTGACTGTGTGTGCGCCTGTGCCTGTCCGCCCTGTGATGGACTGGACTCCCACCCAGGGTGTGTCCTGCCTTGCGCCCCTTGCTTGTTGGGGTGGACTCTGGCTCCCCCACAACCCTGTACTGGATAAAGTGGTTCGAAAATGAATGGATGGGGATATGGTCAGTGTATTATAAATAACCAATACGGTAGAAATTACACGAACGACACTCTGCTATTGATAAGGTTTGAACAGGAGAGAGGTGAAGATGCTATAAAGGGGATTCTTGCATTTTATCAGTAGGAAGCGATCTAACCGCCTGTCAGTCAGATTAAAAGAGGTGTTGGGTGTTTTTTTTTGTACCTACCAGGCTTGAGCATCAGGATGGAGTCAGATGTAAGGGGAAAACCAGTGACTTCAAAAATAGACGTTGAACTGCAAAAAACATAAGTTTGTGCAACTGGAGAGACATCTCACTGGACGGTGACAGTATTCAAGAAGTATGGCCTTTCCGGTTTAAAGCCATAATCTTTGTTCAGATAACGAAAATATCAAGCTATGGGCTTGTGTCAGCCTGTGAATCAAAAGCGGTTTTCTCTTCAGTCCAACCAATTGACGTGGTCAGGGGTTTCAGTCCAGACTTCACTGGAAGGAGGAATCTTTTGGCTCTCCTTTAGACTGAATTCAGAAAAAAAATGCAACACTCGCCAATTGCATTGCAGTCGCAGATTCCTAAAACCATTGCAGGTTCAGGTTTGAAGTTCAGAAGCTGATCAAGGTTTTAGATTTTATTTAGGCTGACCCTCAGTCCAGGAGTCGCTTAAGAAAGTGGTTCTGATTGCAACGAAAAGGGAAATTTTGAGCTTTTTTTCCCATTTTGTGGTGAAGGCTGACTAAGCGGTGTATCCTGATCACAGTGGAGTAAAAAAAAAGTCTAAATCATTATGCACATTTTCGATGGATGTGACTGTGACCACAGCTACATTTAACATAAACATCGCTTGCCCACACAATCCAACGCCCTTTATTAAATTCTGCTCAATTCGTAAACTAATTAAAGCATTTGACAGAAGTCCAATTATAGAACCCCATGATGTATGAAAAACACAAATTGCATTTACACTTTATGCAATAGTTTTCTATCCACATGATCTCCTTATGGTTGCTATCCTTGCTGAGGGAACAAAGCCCAGATGTTCGTATGAAAAGGAAGAAACTCACATCATGTGCAATACAAATTATACATCACGTTGCACTGTGACCACATGTGGAGTTAGATTTGTACATGCTTTTTACAAAACACTTCATGCTTTTATTTCTAAGCAAATTCATTTGGTGTTGGGCCTACCTCCAGAAGGAGGATTAGTAACTGGACCTCTTGGGCACTGTAAAGGCTGGTTGTGAAGGGAATAAAATCTAGATCAGAGGTTCATTTATGAGTTTAAATCCAGAATGTTTCTCCGACTGTTGCACATAGCCAGACCTGATGAATATGCACCCCACACAACATCATGCAGGTAGTGAAGAACTGAAGTCATTATGAGAAAGATAAAGACATTCTTGACTTCTCCCAGGCTGATAGCCATGAGGACAGAATGACATACCTAAGCTGTTTCTGCAGAGCAAGATCTCAAGGTTGGCTTAACTGAGTGTTGAAGGCCTTTGAAGGCACAGAGCAGGTTAATTCCAGGTGATATGAAGACTATACAATGGAAAATGTGTTGAAAGCAGATTTAGAATCGATACTGGTCCAGGGCTCTGAGAGAGAAAGGCCTAGAGTTTAGAGGTGGCCTCAGGTGAACCAGGGTCTCCCAGAAAGAAAATGTACCCTGTCCTTAGCCTCAAAGGTCATGCCTCGATTTTTGTTTTTTATTTTGGTCTCGGTCCCCGTCAGTAGTTTCCTTCTCTCCCAGCCTGAGGTTGAAAACAGCCCATCTGCGCAGTGATTTCTTTTTTGCAGGGTCCTGTGTTTTGGATGACGTGGGCTTGATTCTGTACCCTCAGCTGCATCTGGTGGGCACCGAAAAAACAATAGAGCTCCAGCCCCCAACCCCCCCCACACACAAACACAATTCCCCTCTTTCTTGGGGCTCCAGACAGGCCCGTTTCCTCCTAAAGATTATCCTGCCCCCCCAATTGTTTACTTCAGAGCTTGTGTCTCACTTCCCTCTGAGCCTGCCCTCCCTGCTTGCCTGTGCCGGAAGGTTAGGCCACAAACCGGCCTGTGGCTTCCTTCCTGCCCTCGTACTGATGTAGGAACCCGAGAGGCACCCCTCTCTGCCTTCGACACCACCGCTCATCCAGCACAGCGACGCTTTATCGCGATTTTGGCGGATTTTGGAGGGGGGGGGGGGCTTTGTGCAATCTTCTCATTCTACAGAAGCGACTGATTCACCCTCGCTATCTCACTGCAGATAAAATTCTAATAAAACTGGTCTCGTAGAAAAGCGTTTCCTCATTTCCTGGAAGTACGGGCGTCCGGTTTTTTTCTTTTGAAACGCGCATTTTTTTTTCCTCAATCGGCTTCCCTCTCGTTCAACGAGCGAGACGCGTTATACAGTTGCCGGCGTTGCGGCCATAGTTTTTTTTTTCCCCCAGACTTTTACTGAGCGTCAAATAAAAACAAACAAAGAAGACGTTGCGGTCGTCTCCATCTCCACGCCTTTCGTGAAGAGGACGTCACAAATAATTTTCTAGTGGTAAAAAGCGGTACTGCTTTAAGCCAAAGCTACAGGACCATGGTAAAATAACGGAGAAATGTAGAGAAAGCAATGAATCAGAAAGGAGGGTCACATATTGTTGTATCCCAAAGCAGACAGACTGACATAACAAACTAAACTATCCTCTCCCCAAAACCTACCATGGTACCACGGTGTTTGTTTCATCACTGGGAATTGTACGGGGAGACACCAGTTTCCTGCTGAAATATATAAGCTACCGATTTTCTCTTTAGCAACATTTCCTTTGAAACAAAAAGCTGTGAATAGTACCCAATCAATGTCATACAAAGAACAAAACTAGTGACTAAGCAGAATAACCCATATATTTCAGCGTCATCCCTCAGTCGTGCAGCTAACGGATTTCCACAGCACTTTTGTAAAATGGTGTTTCCGAATCACCTTCTTTTATTTCCACATGAATGAACGTGGCAACCAAACTGCTTGTAGAGGAAGTACAGGTTAATGGAGCACTGTTGGGGTTTTAGAAAGAAAATGACGCCTACAGTCCACGATTGCCTTTAAGATAAGACTCAACCAGACCGTTCGGCAGTAGTTAATTGATTCAAGAAACTCATCCAGTCAGTTCTCCAAAGAAAGCCAGCTATCAGCTTCAACAACATCCCTGGGTGGCTTGTTCCATGCTCCCACAAGTCTTTGGGTAGAGAAGTGTCTCCTTTTTTCAGTTGTAATTGCACTTCCAAGTAGTTTCCTGTGCCCCTTTGGGTCATGTTTCAGTGTTTTTTCACAGGAAATCTGTTGGGTTGACTTTATCGGGGCCTCTGATGATTTTAACTGCTTGGATCAGGCCTCTTTGTAGTCTGTCCCGTTCAACACTAAAAAGATTCAGTCCTTTCAGGACTGCATGCAAAACACAGTTATATCTCTGCCTAAACACAGACCGAAAGTGTACCAGCTAGTGCATTATACATCGAACATATATATTATATATAATTATATATAGCTGTGTCAGCATGCGTAGGCTGCAAAGGAACAAGTAAAGGTTTACAGTATTCCAGGCTGAAAAGTGAAGAAAAGAAACACAACGTTTCGGCTGTGTGGAGCCTTCTCCACCTTCTCTGACACCCGAGGAAGGCTCCACAGCTGAAATGTTGTGTTTCTTTTCTTCTCTTTTCAGCCTGGAATAAACCTTTACTTGTTCCTATATTATATACAGTGTAGACGTCGAACATCCTCGAATTTAAGTTGTAACGAGAAAGCCACAATTTTTACAATTGGTCTTGTAAAAAGGGTGTTGATCTGCATTTTCGTTATATGAGATTGAGGCTCCAGTGTGACCCCTGCTTAACAAGACCCATGCGCTAAGTGAGCTATGAAGCCTTACCCAGGCGGGCGTGCTCAAGAAGCACGAGGCGATGCTTAGTTTTAGTTGAACAGACGCGCTCTGCCATTGCAGGGTGGTGGCACGTTCTGGCTCCTCCTCCTTACCTGGTTTGACTGCTCTGTGCTGTAGGAAGCCCTCTCGGTGGTGAGCGAGGACCAGTCCGTTTTCGACACCGCCTACCCCTCTCACATGATGAAGGCGGAGATGACCTCGCCAGGGGGCTTCAGCCAGGGGTCCAAAGAGAGCCCCGAGTCTGTGGAGCCGGAGTGGATCAGCCAGGGAGGCCGGTTGGTGAAGAGAGAGGGGGAGCAGGTCAACGGCTCCAGGTGAGAGACCAGGCCCAGAATGCTTTGTGGCCCCTGGCGCCGTTCTGCGGTCTGATCACCTCAGGCCTGCCTCGGGGGGCTGGAGCTGTGAGCTCCAAGTGGAGGCCAAAACATGAACCCATCTGCTCCATGGAGAACTTCCTGCAGGCCTCAGGAAAGTGACTGGGCTGCCGCATGCTAAACATACACCTTCCATAGCTATCCTACTGATAGTCAGTGATCTCCTTCGTAATAATGTATGATAACACTGGATTTAGAGGAGTAATCAGGCTTGTAAAATAGCCATCCTGATGTCCTTCCTGTGAATTCTGCAGAATTCTTCCCTTTTATATGTGATCAGATTATTACTATAGACTTGAGGTGACCGCTCTACTGAAAAAAGACGGATGGCTAGCACAGTGCGGATTCGTCAGATTCCCTTTTGGGGTTTTTAAATGCCATTTTGGTTTTGCGCCCGGCCCCCAGTTTGAAAGAAAAAAAGGGTAACGAAATCGACCTTTCCCGAATGGATGGCCACGAGCAGGGGGGGGATTCAGGATTAAAATCTTGTTCTTTTTTTTTTTTCCTGCGTGCCTTGAAGCAGGGAATCCCCCGTTGACTGCAGCGTCACCAAAAGGACCCGGATCGCCAACAGCACAGATGGGAACCATCTCATTTACCAGAACTCTTACCCAGAGCAGAGGTCCAGCCCGCAGAACACGGCGGTCAGCAGCAACAACGACGAGAAGAGAGTCATCGTCCCAGCAGGTACTGTGTCTCTCCTCTTCCCTTCATCTCATCTCACTGCTGTTCTCGAAACCTGCACCTGTTGGACTACTGGGGTTCCAGTCAGGTGTCCGCAGTGGTCCACCGAGGGACCAGTAACAACTCTTGACTTGTTTTCCCATAAAGCGATCCCTGGGTTTGAGGGTAAAGCACGACGCAGATCAATGCTTTAAAATCAGTCCTCTAATTAACGGAAGAAAGAACAGAATCATTAGGGTTTTCAACATTTTTCATGAGGCCAATTATTTCCTCATCTGGTGCAAGATGTTACGATTGTTTGAGACTCTTTATCACACCTGCGGGATTGTGGGCGGTCATGTCGAATGACCCAGGTTGCCATCAGCCACATTAGGGAATCCCCAAAAGCTGTCCCCATCCATAAACCATGCAGTTTAGTTCCAGGGGGGGGGGGGGTTGTATGCAAAGTGATGTGATCATGGCTTATGTAGACTGTGCTGGTACATAGTCACACTGTGATTTTGCATTGGAAAACACAAATGGTAATTTTAATACTTCACCACATATCTAACTGTCTGTCAGTGTGCTGTCGGTCTGTTTGTCTGCCCTTGAGTGTTAAAAAGGTGAGCTCAGTTGGTGGTTATTAGCTATTTTTTTAAAACAATATCTTTATTGTTTTTTCCCTATTAAATATTAAATGAGAAAATATGAACTATGTACAAACAACAACAACAAAAAAAAGAAGAAAACAACTAGCTAATAAATTTATCCCAGAATCTCACCCAACTGCTTCTTGAAAAAGAAAACAGGGTATCAGCTTCAGCAACATGGCTGGGCAGCTTGTTCCACACTCCCACAGCCCTTTGGGTAAAGTGCGTCCTGTTCTCACTTTGAAGTGCCCCAGTTTTGAATGTCACTTTTATGGGTATTTATGTGAATAGACAGATGCATAAGCGTATTACGTTTTGTGTTGCTTTGGAGGCAACCCAACATTCACCTTTGCAGATGAATCTTTCCAGATGGGGGGCTGGAGGTGGCATTAGGGACTGGAAATGTGACCAAAGCAAGAAAAACAACAGCTTGTGCCATGATATCAGGAGATCTCGCTGACTGGCGGTGTTGCACAACCTTACTTGTTGCAAAATGAGCCGACAGTATATTTAGCAAGAGCCGGGTGGGGGGGTTTGGTGATACTGGTGGCACGGACCTGACACTTGGAGATATCTTCCCTTTATCTAGTGCCTTGTGCTGTTACAAGACGACATGTGCCATAGGATAGCTCTGAGATTCCCCGTGTTTATTTATTTGTATTTTGCCATTTATCAGTCGCCCAGGACAACCCTGGTGATACAAAGCACTGTTGTTTGTACTTGAGATCCAGGAAGCAACAGACACGCAGAAACATTGACACTCTTCGCACACAGAAGCCTACAATTATGCAGCCACAAGTGGTTTAATAGTGACTTCCTGTCTGCTTTTATTAACCTGTCTTCTGAGGGTTGATCTGAGCTTCAAATATAGAGATACAGCATGTCATGTAAAGGAGGGTAGAGGTAGTAGCAGTAACAACACCAATAATAACAAACTACTTCGTACAGAGCCTTTAAAAGTATCGCACAGTGTGTTGTAATAGTTTCAATTCAAAATTGCAAACCTGCATTTGAAGGCCTAACAAACAACTGACCAAAAAAAGCCTGTCTAAAAGCAAAATATGAGTAGCTTTTCCGGCTAGATTTGAAAGAAAATCTCAGTATGACGAGTTCTGGATTCCTTTTGGGGTAGTGTTCCAAAGCTTTGGAGAATCAGAAACAAATATCCCCCCACCCACAGAGAAGTGAGTAACTGCTTCATGAATTGAGGGAACTTTATGAAGGCCTGTTCAAGCCCAGAGTGCGCTTTAGCCAGGACATTGGCCTAACATTCCTGCTCATTTGAACACTGCCCTGGGATCTTTTATGACCAAGTATTCGAAACCTCAGTTTAATGTCTTGTCCAAAGCACAGCACCTCCTCCAACACCATGTCCCTGTTCATCACAGTGGGGCACTGGTTTCAAAAGCCTGGCCCAGAGAGAAAAGCGCCACCTATCCCTTTCTCTTGAGGTATCCCATCCCAGCACAGGCCAGGTCCCAACATGCCTAACCTCTGAGATCAGCTAATGTTTCTGCACATAAGATAAAAACCTGCTGGGAAGCCAGTGCAGGGACTCTAGGACAGGAGTAATGTTGTGATGTGCTCACTTGCATGTGTCCTAATGAGGATTCAAGCCCGGTGTAGCCCGGTCAGGCACAATTTTGCAGATTTCTGCACCTTGCGTATGACAGCACTCTTTCCTTTAAAAAGCTGCCAACTGCGAATTATTGATTTAAGGTTATTAGTTAAGAATCCAAGAGTGTCTGAGTACCAGGACTGGATTGGTGAGATCATTCTGGGGGCGTGGTCAACCTGATAGGTCACATGACAGGTGTTGTGACTCAGCACATGTGGAGGCCTGTGTGTCACTGGTGTGGTCCTGGGCGACTAGGACATGCCTGAATTCCCATCCGGGGGGACACACTGCTGCAGCTGTGACGAACACTGATGACTGAGTCACCAGCGCCTAGAGACTGATGATCTGCTGCCAGTGGAGTTTTGGAGGAGGAATTTCACCAGGGTGACCGGTACAGGGCTCATTCGGTTACAGCGATTATAACCCTCTGGCGCTAAAAAAACTAGTGTTGCTAACGTGACAGAATCCATCTGGCTGGAGAGGCAGCAGTTGACAGCTCCTTCCTAACTTAAAGGAAAAGATAAAAATGCAGGCATCTTTCCTTAAGACAATTGACATCAGTGTTTTAATCTTTTTTTTTTTTGCTTCACTCTCTAATAGTAGATTTCTCTCCATATTTTACTGAGATGATTCAATATTTTTAGTTTTTCCCCCCCATTTCCTGTCGTCGCAAACTGGCGTTCGAGATCCCACGACTTGCGCCGTGAAGCAGCCCTTCCTGCTCACTAGTCTAATATCATGAGATCAACAGAAATGTTCCAAAGTGATCTGCATACAGATTTAACAAATAAGTGGCATTTGTTGGCAAAACTGTCTCAAAATCGAAAGCAGTATTTCTATTGGATTGAAAGAGATGTATTTAAAATATAATAAGGCCTCTTTACATCACCAGATGTTTTGTTGCCTCGTTCAGAATTGCACAACATGGTACTGCCCAGACCATGAAATTAAGTTTATTTTGTGATGTCAGTTGAAGGTTTTACCAGTTACTGTGTCCATTTGATTTTTGTAGCAGTTTGAAATGCTGATTTTTTTTCTCATCCTGCAATATAAAAATACTGTTGCAGCTCCCCTTTAAGAATGTAAAACAGGTGGCAAATGAGAGATGGCTCTTCAGCCACCACCTGGCCAGTTTGGTAGATCTGATCAAACCTTATTCCTGGAAACAGCCAGGGTACTGGGTTCCAAACATGGCTGTCTATTTAGATTTATTGTATCAGGTTCAATGTGGCTATTTATATGACTTCTCTAGCCCCCGGGACTACGGGAGATGGCTGGTCATTACCTGGTCTGCCGTTATGAGCTGCATCCAGAACCTGACGTTGCTTAAGTGCAGTGCTTTCCATCCTCGACGTCTTGGAAGAACTGTAGTTCAGTGGACCAGGATATCCTGCCTCCGGAAACCAAATTGCCCGATTCCCCAAACCGCCTCTCTCAGCGCATCACGTCTGGGAAGCTCAGGCTTGATGGCGTAGAGGTGGTGATTAGTCATCCCGCTAAAGCTTTGTCTGTTTTGCTGAAGTTATAGCGCCGTCATATGCAAACGCCATTCCCAGAGAAACACGGTCCACTCCCCTGCCCAAACGTGAAAGAAGTCCCTGAGGGGTAGGTGGTACCAGCTCATTGTTCTTTTTACGAATCATTGTTTTTTGTTTTAAGCGCACGAAACAGAATTCCGAGGCTCAGCCTAAGCTCAGCAAGTAGAGACACTTGGCCTCAGTGCTTGGGCTCTGTGATCACGGGTTCGAGCCTGGGACAGAGTGTGACAGGGATTTCCCCAGGCCACAGCGCACAATTGGCCAAGCGCCGCCATGAACTGGGTAGGATGAGTTGGCCTGGGCTTTCTTGGCTCTTCCAGCAGCAATCTTAGTTTTTCCCAGGAGGTCTCCCATCCAGGTACTGGCCTGGCTCACACCTGCTGAGCTCCAGTGGGCTGCTGGGAGCTGCTGGCTATAACTTGCATTTTGGCAGTATAACAAAGATGCCGCCTCCACATTAAATCTACAGAGAGCGAGCTTGAGTTTTACCAGAATGGAACCTCAGAGCAATCGAACCTGGAGTAAAGTTGAAACCCTTCCCTGTCCTTCCCTGCTGCAGATCCGGAAGTGTGGACGCAGGACCACGTCAGGCAGTGGGTGGAGTGGGCCATCAAGGAATACAGCCTGGTGGAGGTGGAGGTGTCCTTGTTCCAGTCCATCGATGGCAAGGCGCTCTGCAAGATGACCAAGGAGGACATGATGCGCCTGACGTCGGCCTACAACACAGACGTGCTGCTCTCGCACCTGAATTACCTCCGGCAGAGTAAGGAAGGCTCAGGGCCCGCACTTCAAAATGCGTTGCGATTGATGTCAACGGGTATTTTATGGATCGTTTAGATAAGATCACTTTATTGGCCATATACAATTTCTTGCATTAGGAATTCATCTTTTTGCATACCCCAACTTGTTCTCCATGAGACGCACAGACAGGGAGAGAAGCTTGGGGTCAGAGCGCAGGGTCAGCCATTGTACAGCACCCCTGGAGCAGTTGGGTTAAGAGCCTTGCTCGGGGGCCCAATGGAGTAGGATTCCTCTGCCGTTCATGGGATTTGAACTGGCAAACTCCTTAGCCACAGAGCCGTGATCTCACTTGTGGGCAAAGCTAACATAAACGATGGGTATAGCTCCCCCTGCCCCAAGATGGTCAGGGTTGCTTGTGGGCTCCCAGCATGCACTGTGCCACCCCCTAGACAGCAGACAACTCAGCCCTCCTGAAAGACCAGCTCTCACGTGGGCTGGATTTCAGAGGGCGGGGTGTCACTTCTGTACCTCGCTCAATGCACTGAGCCCTGCTGCAGGTTTCGTTTTTAACTGCAAAATTAAAAACTCCATCGTCATTATTCCTAGTTCCAATTGGAATTCTAGTAAATCTGACATTTGTTTCTGATGTGCCTTTTCCACACTAAATAGAACAGTATCAGAGGACAGGCTAACATTGCACAACCTATATTTTGTGAAATACTGTAAAACTCGATTTGGAGAAACTTATAACTCCTGTACCATGATAGTGATATTTATTATCACGGTAGGTACACTTCCATCAGGTACTTTCTAGTAGCAGGGGATATTACTCACGAGACTCTTGTGCTGTTGTACCTTGCTCAAGGGTAATTCACTTGCTGCACTAAAGAACCCAGCAGTTGAAATGGGTGCCAATGTAAATCACTTTGGGGAAAAAGACTGAATTAATATCTTTACAGCTTTAGTAAGTACACCATACAGCATATGAAATGTTGTGGCTACACGCTGTGGGTGTAGTGGTAACAGTTATTTATAATCTTTGGTTGAAACTGTTGCAGTCAGTAGCTCTGACAGAGCATATCTCTGAGCAAATGTTTCAGCACCTCGGTCAACTCCAGCCTCACGGATCTCTGTAGTAATGTTGGGAAGAGTTATGGACTGTTGCTGGTACATCTAGATCCTTGTGCAATTGAATTGACTATAAGCCCAACAATTAAAAAGCTGTCTATACTAATCCCCTTCCTCCTACACTGGCGCAGTTGTGGGGCTTTCAGAAAAGTCTGAGTACTTAAGGAAATGACTCAGCAGCAGTTTTGTGTCACTAAACCCTGGATAATATGAACTACATAGCCAAGATAGACTCCTATTGTTTGGAATGACTCTTAAGTTTTTGTTTTTTATTTTCTTGTGTCTGAATGAATTAAAGGGTCTGGTATTTGATTGCTCACAGGAATAGATTCCTAACTCAAGCCTTCCCGGACTGTCGTTCAGAGTTGTTTTTTTTTTAATAGAGTAAAACTCTGGGTCACAGTCAATAGGCCTAGTTGAGAGAAGATATAGACCATTCGGAGCTCAAGAAAAATGAAAATGTGAAAATAATGACAGTTCTGTATTACACCTTGGACTATCAACCCAAATCTGATTTGTTTTCACTCCACTAGTGCAGGATGTTAAGAGAAATCCATATAGATAATACTTTATGACGTATTGGCCTCTGCTCTGCTGCAGCACCAGATGAGCCGTGGTGACAGCTGATGAACACTGAGAGTCCCTTGGCTTCTCAGTTTGGCTCCGGCCTTCGTACAGCAAGTGTTTTTTTTCCCCCGCTCGTGTTGAGTCTCTCATCTTCTCTTCCAGGTAGCCCCACGTTCTCATACTCCACAACCACAGCCAACACACAGCCACAGCCACGGCTTCAGGTTAAAGCAGGTAAGAAAAGAAAATCTCCTAATATAGAAAATACTTCTGTGTACCCACACACACACAGACATGCTTATATAAGAGGCAATATTGATTAGCTCTGGCCATTTCACAGCTCTAGGAAGCAGAACCATCTAAATGGAGCCACCAGCCTGATATGGATAACATCACATTTAGCAGCCACAGAGAGGCATTTCAATCAGCAATGTCATAGCTAATTTTCACAATTTATCAGTACCTATGCACCATGCCTCTGGAAGGTGAGCAGAATCTGGAGCACTTGGCAAAACCCATCTGAATTGGGTGGGGGAGCGAGATGGAAAAAGCAGAGAAATGCCAGTGAGTGCACAGCGAAGTACCATATAAGATGGAAGAGATAGAGTTGGAATCCTTGTAATGTGGAGGTGGCAAATATTTGAATTGTCTTTTTCAAGATTTCAGCTTCCCCCCATGCGTGCTGGCACTATCAGTTCGTGAAAAGCTGTTAAGGTCCTGTGATCTGCAGCTGTGAAGGTACATTCCTGCAAACATGACCACTGTGTTGCTTGTAACGATGCAGAACCCCAAAAATACGTAGCAAAAAAACCCATCTAGGAACAAGTTACAATTTGAAGTGGCTGTGGTAAGCAAGATAAGACAGGATGACATGAGCTACACTGAGAGAACACAGAGGAGAGAGGGAGGAGGATTCATTGTTAGGACTGCAGTAGGAGGCAACCAAGATTAACTATTTCCCTGCCTCGACTTTTCAAAGACGGACTTAAAATTTAAAGCTATGTCTGTCTGAATTATTTTTATTTTGACCCAACACTGCAGAGTGGAAGAATTATAATTTTTTCTACCGCCAAAATCTGAGCAACATGTTTGAATTTCTTTAACCCCTCTGCCGGGACAGAGCTCTATGAGTTAAACAAAACTGGCAAAAAAGATTGCCTCTGGAACTCCAGACAGGAAACAGCTGCCAAGCAACAGGAAGTCAAGGGCAGGACTTCAGTGTGAGGACACAATGCAAATCTTGTGATAATAGGCCTGGGAAAACAAAGGGAATTTCTGAGTCACTTATTAAACATTCTTCCATTCTTTCTTTCAGAAAATACCTTTGAGGAGATCAGGAGAAACAACTGGCAATCTCCAATAACTGCAGTGCAGAAAGGTAACTTCTTCCCTGCTGTGCTTGAGGGATTTCAGGTACACATCCAATCAGCTCTAGTTTAATGGGGCTGGTCTGCTCATGACCAATTTTTCACTAGCCTGGACACCATGCAGTCTTGATAAAAAAAAAAAAATCCATTGATGCTTGCTCAACAGGTAAAAGTTCAACACTTCTACCCATGCCTGAAGTTCTTTAGGAATTATGTAGTCCGAGAAACAAGATCTGGTTGAATATGGATCCTGAGAAACTGTAAAGAAATGCCTCATGTTCTCATGTTTTCCTTTTTTTCTTTACTCCAGGCTCTCCCACACAGATCCAGCCCAACACCCGAGTAACAGAACCCTCTCCACGCCATGTTCCAGGTAAGGACTCGGGTCCAGTCTCTTCAAGTGTCATCTGGCAGCGTTACCTGCTGCTCTTGAAAGGCCACTAAGCATGCCATCGAGCCATGATTTTACTTGCTATAGTAACACTTTGCCAAAGACTGCTTTACACGTTCCTATTGCTATTAACAATATAATTGTTGAGAGCATCCTGGCATTTAACATGACATGAATTATTTTTCCTGCCATTTTCACAATCCTGGACAGCTTGTTTGGTTTTGCTTTTCAACCCCAGGTTTCCATACCAGACTGTCCAGGATTGTGAAAATGGCAGGAAAAATAATTGAGAAACAGCAGCCCCAGCTCTGCAATTTATATCATAATACAGTTCTCAGAATGGCAAGGAACATCACAGCTGATTCCACATTCCCACTACATTCTCAATTCATAACGCTCCCATCAGGGAGACGGTACAGGGACCAAATTCAAGTAAAAACAATTATAGGAAATCCTTTGTCCCCTCTGCAATAAAACTACTCATTGAAAGTATGTAAATGTATTCCCCCCTCTACCTATTTATTTATCCTATCTATTTATTTATCACAAAACGTTGTTGTGATCTTATGTTTTGCTTGTGTGTTCTGTACTTCTGTGGGAGTAGCCGAAGACAAATTTCCACAGCAGTGGACAATAAAGTATCTATTATATGTAACAACAATAGACCACGTGGGCATGGAAGAGGGGAAAACCCCCTGTTGGAGAGGAGAAACCTCTGGGGGTCCCAAACCCAAGGCTTAACTCCACCACCTCCAGGCAACGGGTTTGTGGGGCTTTAATTAGTGTGATAATAAACCCAGAGCAACCTTCCTGACCTCCTGGGTATGTTGTTGTGGTTATCCGAGAGACGCAGCTCATGTGTATTTCCTGGGCCTGCCATCTTGGATCTGCCATCCGGTGTCTTCTGTCTTCAATCACTTCTGGCCAAGTCTTCTAAATCCGCTCCATCCTGTCTCTGCAGATCCTTACCAAGTCCTGGGACCCACAAGTAGCCGACTGGCCAACCCAGGTAATCCAGGCTTTCTCTTTCCAACTCCAACACCAGAGCTCCGATACGGGCCTCCTCTGCCGACGCAAAGCCTTCAGTGGGAATCGAACGCGGGCTAGACACCCTATTTGTTTTGCATGGTCTTGAAATAACGGGGACTGGCCCTCGATTATCCCGACTGGGATTGATTCGGGATTTTACTTTCAGGGACAGCCCTGCTGGGCACAACTGGGTCGATTTTCAGGACTCGTGACTGTTTTCCTCCACCCATTGGGTTCGCTTTGGTCCGGGCTGTGATCACTTCACAAACGATACGGGTACGGCTGATGACGATAAATCAGCACAAACATGGCCACAAGTATCAGGCTGATTTCCGCTCTGGTTTTGAAGTGACACCTCCTGCTTTGGCAAACGAACACTAAATCCTTATTCTCCCCCCCCTCCCCGAAACATGCTCTGTCATCTCCTGTGTGAAGCACTTGGACCGCGATCAGATTTGTTACGTCAATACTTCCTCAAAACAGCGGAACAAGCTGTCAGATTTTGTCCCACTTTGCCTCGAAAACAAAGAGCCTGGCGCTTCCCCAGAGCGAGACAGAAATGAATGCTTTTTGCCATGTCTCAACAGAGAGTGCACTGCCACACCACAAGACAAGAACAGGCAAACACGAAACGTACAAGCTCGTTGACTCCAGCACTCACAGGATTGTGGGTAGGTTAAGAGCAGACTCATATCTGTGAATCTCTGACTGAAACTAACAGCAACTGCTCGGAATTGCATTGCAAATTTGGGGCTTAACTGACAGTTTGAGAAGTTTAGGGGTGTTTTTTTGCCAAAGCCGGACTTTTTATTTCTTTTTTTTTTACCACCACCTGTGGAGAGCAAATAGCCATGGGCAATCCTAACTGCCCCAGCTGAAATCATTGAAGTCAAAGTGTGCATGAGACACCTTGCCACAAGAAAGGATCTTGATACAAAAACGTAAGATGTTCCAAGGGAGTCTTTGTCAGCATTCACTGGCTGTAAGAGAACAAGTAGAGGTTAAATTCCACACTGAACACCCAGCATTTCAGCTGTTGAGCTTTCTGTGGGGTATGAAGAAAATGGCTCAACAGACAAAAACGTTTCTCCTTTTCAGTGTGGAAGTAACCTTTGTCATTGTTTCTGTATAAATAAGATGGTCTTCAGCCATCACATCGCACTACGTGAAAAAATGTAAGCAACTCTTTCTCTTTGAGAACACACCACTCTCCTCTTCTAGGTTAGCAGGTTATTTCTATACCATTGTACTTCCTGTGACCTGGAAGTCCAGTGCCAGCCATCCCAGAGATGGGAAACTGCAGGGTTACCTCTCTTGAGTTTGCCATGTTTTTCTGAACGGAATATCTTCGATTTGTATAGCGCAGTACTGGAGGCAGACCACAATGCTGGACACAATTATAGCACCATATTTATTGTTGCATGAAGTACTAACAGTAGGCATCTGCCCTCCTGGACATGGTAGATCCTGACAGTTCGAGTTCTTTTCGGGATTTGGTGGATTAATCCATCCGACATTTCTTGTTTTTGGTGAGGGGTGTATTTTGTGGCGGGTGTAGGCACTCTAAGACGCTTCTGTAAGTGGTCTTGTGCGTCTGGTCATTAGTTTCATCATTGTTAATCCTGCTCATCTCAACCCTGTCTGATATAAACAAGGGAGATGACACCTGGGTGGTGGTGTCAATGCATCCCTACAAAGGGCAAACACAGAAGCTAGCACGCGTTTCATTATTGCAGTTTCACTGCCATCTGCTGGCTGAAACCAGACATTGCAGGAGCCTGTTGTAACCGATCACAGAACTCTCTTCCGGAGTTTGCTCTCTCAGTGAAATGAGTTTTCCCGTAACCATTGTTTAGATTTTTTTTAAGTAGAACTCGATTTTGTTTTACGTGATGGGTGATGTGTTTTCACATCTCCAGAACTGATTTTTAGGACTGAATTTAGTACTTATTAGGAACTTTGATTTAAAAACGATTATTGATTTGAAAGTTTTATGTTGTGCCGACACCATGAAAGACCATTACTGCATTCAAGGAAAGTAGTTTCAGACTTCAAATTCTATTGTTTCTCTAGTTTTCTTTAATGAATCATGAAAAGTGCAAATTGAGATAAAGCTCTTAATCTTTTATCTTTATCAATTGACTAATTGAATTTTCCTTAAACTGGAATATATATATTAATCTAAATGCATCTATAGTACATTTGTCATTCCCAGAAAGCAAACCAAACGCTTTTTACATAATCCCACTTGATCAGATTCTGTTGTATATTAGACTCCCACATAAGAAATTACTGGACAAGAAGTACTGTAGTCGGACTGCTTTTGAACCATCATTGCATTGGCAAAATATGCCCACTAGATGGCGACAAAACACCATTATGAATGCATTTACCGCTTCAGTGGAGTTGCATGCTTTCATCTGAAGTCCTAGGCACATTTCAGAACGGAAAGCATCGACTCATTTTCTCATTAGTGGAACTGCTTTGCCTGAGCTTACCTGCCCCGCCCCGAATTATTTCATTTCAATATTCCCGTCCCCCCCTGCAGGTTCTGGGCAGATCCAGCTGTGGCAGTTCCTGCTGGAGCTCCTGTCCGACAGCAACAACTCGGCCTGCATCACCTGGGAGGGCACCAACGGGGAGTTCAAGATGACCGACCCGGACGAGGTGGCCCGGCGCTGGGGGGAGAGGAAGAGCAAGCCCAACATGAACTACGACAAGTTGAGCCGGGCGCTGCGCTACTACTACGACAAGAACATCATGACCAAGGTGCACGGCAAGCGCTACGCCTACAAGTTCGACTTCCAGGGCATCTCGCAGGCCCACCAGAACCACGGCAACGATTCCGGGGTGTTCAAGTACCCCGCCGAGGTCCCCTACGTCCAGACGTACCACAGCCACCAGCCGAAAGTGAACTACATTGGGACGCACAGCTCCCCCATGCCTGTCACCTCTGGGAGTTTCTTCGGACCTCCGTCGCCTTACTGGAACTCCGCGACCGGCACCATTTACCAGAGTCCGGCCGTGCCCAGGCTGCCCGGCACCCACGTCTCCTCGCATCTCGGCACCTACTACTGAGCCGCGGAGACGCAGTTTGTTTGCGTCCCCAGCCGAACGGACGAGCTCCTCTCTGACTGCGCTCTTTCCCGCCAGACCGGATCGCGAGATGTCTTTGCCCCCGGGGGGGGGGGAGATGAGCTCCGGCCCGCCCACCCGCCAAGGGGGCGTGTCTCTCCCCCGCGCGCCCGGATTGGCGGGAGTCACATCAAGGAAACGGCCGTAGCAAAATGGCAGCAGCAACAAACACACCAACGAAAAAAAGGCCACACTGAATGTGTTGCAGCACAAGTGAACCCCGGAAAAGTTTCCTGAAATTAGGTTTATGCCAGGACTGTGTCACAAATACATAAACATGGCCTTATATACTGCATACTACTCAGAAAAACGTCCATGTTATTTCTCTATGTCTTAGTATTATTTTTATCTCAATTATATACTGTATATAGGTGTATTTTTGACCACTGAAAGCTTCTTTTTTTTAAAATGTTTATCAACACGTCCTTTGTTATGTAGAAAGAAAACCCCTCTTGCTCTTCCTCGATAGCGGTGGCGCTTTACAAAAAACACTGTCAATGGGATGGCACTCGTTTTTCAACCTCCGCCCTGAAAAACTGAAACAAAAAAAAAACAGAACAAATTAAGAAAGGTTGTAAAATTTTTTTAAAAAATTTAAAACTAAGCCATCAATTAGTAAAAGGGAATATTTACACTGACTCATCCATTATACTTCCTGCAAGGATGACATCTCCATTAGCTCTGAAAGATGTTTTTGTATTGTGTTTAAAAGAGACTATGTGTGGACTCATTTCCACTGCTGTGCCATGATGAGAATCCTGGCTGTTAAACGTTTCAATGTTCATTCAAGGGAAGACACATGGTTTGCACCTGAAGCTCTAAAAGTCCTCCTATATATTTGTTATCAGAACAGAGCACTGTTTGTTTCTTGCACCACAACCCAGACATTCGTCTTATTCTCTGACGTTCTTGATAACTTTGATGAAAACGTTCTTATGACAAAGAGGAAGTTACACAGCCAGAGCTCCAGTGGGTCTGCAGATACTGTACGTCTTGCATGAGATAGTCTGTTTAGGTCTCTTAAACATTGCAATGTCTTCAGGTTTGGACCCATTATTAATGTAAATATATTTCAGGTGACCTGAAGCAGATTTAATCCAGATCTTTTCCTGCTGCTTAATTGGTGGATGGAAACAGCATTTTGTTTCCTACAGAGTTCTCTTTTTGTATTCTTCTGAATAAGTATGTTACCTTTGTATGTTAATGCCACAGTTTGGAACGATACATTAACCATCCGCAATGGACCGATCCTGGGAATCCACAATAACACGCACGCACACGCACACAAATATTCCTCTTCCACATTCTCAGCCCCGTTCCACAGCGCTTGCCAGAAACAGAAGCAAACTAGCAAGACTGTCTCTGCATTAACATTCGCCAAATGTTTCTGAAGTCCCTGATCTGCACTGAACGTGATTTGCAGCCGAGATTGAAACTGGACAGGTTCGGATTCACGACGAATTACGATTGGACCAGAGAAGCGAGGTTAAACTAAGCAATATTTCGATTGGGTTTCACAAGTCCAGTGATCTTTGCTCTGAAGCATGAGTGTGATAATGTGGAGGGGGGTCTATGAGTGTTAGTGATAGGCATGCTCTTACACTTCCAGATCTGTAGTAATCTAGCTCAAGAAAGGTTTAGGATTTCCCTGGTTCCACAGGAAATGTGATCCCTGACAGAAACTCAGAGACAGATCTGAAAGCAATCCTCAAGATGTCCTCAAGAATAAGACTTGCCAAGAACTCAGAGCAGACTGTCAGACTGTCTCTCAGACAGCAAGTGTTTCTGTAACCGAAGGAGGTTTGATATTTGTGTTCGCTTGTTGAAGGGGTCAGGCTTGTCCAGTCTGCCCAAGAGCTCTCAAGCCCTATTACTTTAGGAGCCAGATCTGCTTGCTTATACTCAGGTGAGATGATTAAACTATTTAGCCGTGCTGTAAGTTGAAGCACAGAACCAGATGAGATGTTGTTGTGTCCAATGCGTTTCTCTCTTGGTGGGTCAGAATCAACTTGCTTATAGCATGCTATCCAGCTTGGCATGTTCCAAAGCCTCTGTTCTACTACTCCTTTGGTTTTAGCAGGCATGTATATTTTGATGAGCGATAGTTTTAGCCACTTGTCCTAAGACAGTATTTAAATGGCCCATATGAGTGAAATCACTGTTTTGTTTTCTTCTTATTTAATTTCCGTCCTCCTCCCCGAGCAGGTTTTCATGTAGCTCCAACATCACGTCTTCATCCATTCTCATGTAGCAGAATTCTGAAATAAACATGTGCCAATCTGTGTGTTGTATGTTTCCTTTTCTGCGTGCCATGAGATTGCAGCCAAACACACCTGTTGCTCCACAGGTAAAACAAATGTGCAGTACAAAAGAAACAGCTGTTTAGCTTTTAGAGGGTCGCAAAATATCAACCCCCATGTTTCTGTCTGTTTCTATATAGAGAGCAACACGAAGCCCCTGTCCACACTCTACATTCAAAATAGTGACTCTGTGACTCTTCTGGTATACCTTTTGGAAAGTGGTTTTCCAGACCACTTTTTGCTCCTATTTCAATGATATTTTGAGTACTGTTGTAGGACTGACCCTAATATATTTGAGTGGTGGGCTGCCCATTCTTACCCTACTCTATACTCTGTCTTCTTTAAATTCTCATCACCTTTCTCTCTCACACACACCTGAAGAAGGCTCTACAGCCACATATCTGTTTCTCCTTTCTATTTTTTTCAGCAAGGAATTAACCTTTATTTGTACCTCTGTGACCCCATCTGTGTCACATTCAGCACCTGCGGTTTTTCTGACTGGGGTTTTGTGTTGTGTGTAGATGTGGGAGGGTTAGATGTACAGATGCCTGTAGTGTATAGGGTGTCCGTTCATTTATTATTAAATGGGGTTAAATGGGGTTTCTGCTGCCTGAACTCACTAAAATGGCCACTCTGCTTTATCCCTGAACTGAGCAAAAAAGTAAAACCCGAGGAAGCAGTTGTGAGTTCACAGTTAGCTATAATATGTACAGACATAAAATCTCACTTTTTATTTTTATTTTTCTCTCTAATTCACAGAGGATAGGAGGTGTGGCTAGCTTTGGTTGTACAGGACAATAGCAAATAGTTTTTATAAATTACAGATTAACAAGAGAAATTTGTATAATTGTAAAAATGTTCCAGTTCAAACACAATACAATATGGAAGATACTCTCTGCATAGTTTTAGGAGCAAGTACACATATTTTCAAATACGACTGTTTTGCTGATTTGTAATTAAGGTCAACTCAGTACAGTGTCCCTCACAAAATGCAGAATCCAGGTCTGGTGTGGTCTGGTGTTTCAATGTAGGACATTGCTCATTCTAAACCTTGAAAATGAAATTGCTTCCTAAAGGTACCTCCTTAATCCTAAAACGGCAACTCCTGTGGTTACTTTAAGATATTTAAGATATTGGAGACTGGATTTATTTTACTATTCACACAAATACGCCCATAATATACAAATAAGTGACACTCCACGCCTGGAAAGACCGAGAAACCAATTTGCAGGTGTTGACATCAGTTAAAACACAATTCTCTTTCAATATCAATTCTTCGAAGTTGTGCGGAGCAAATATATTCAAGTGCACTGATACCAAGCTCCGTCGTATTCAGTGATCAAGTACATTAGCTGTTCTGCGTCTATCACTTAATGCAGAGCTGAAGTGTGCGCGATGTCTCCTAGTCCTCGACTTCTGTTTCGTAGAAAAGGTCATTATATCAGGTCACGTGGTTTCCCCGATAAGGAATGTGCCGGATATCGAAGCGAAATTACTTCAGATACGACTTTCAACTCTCATCTTTTTTGTCCTCCTGTGCCGTTGTTGGGGAGCTGAGTGAGGACACACACCTTCGCTATATCTTGGGAACGAATGCGGTTCGGACGCTGCTTTTCAACTGCACACACCGGCTCTAACGAATTCGGTGAGTTTCAATGTTTGAGCTGTTTGTAACTGGGAGGGTTTCGCGATGCTGTCACCTGAATGTATCCTATGCATGCTCTGCCAGTGGGTCTCAACCTGCGGCCCGCAACGTCCGACCCCTTTCAAAATAAATTACATTTGTTTGCAGTCGATTCCTTCGATAAAAAAAATTAAAACATAGATAGAACTCGCAGCCTCACTAAGAGTGTGTTCTAGTCACGTAAAACCGTTTCTGAATAGATTCGCTAGTGTCTCCCTCCAGCCCTAGGTCACTGGCGGCCTTCTTTATGTATGATCTATGATGACTGGTGACTGAACAATTTAGTCATTGCAGTTTGCTTACGCATGGTACAGTATAGCTCAACACTTTCTGGTGTCTGTTTTTTTTCTGGTGTGACAAACAGAGTCCCAGTGAGTCTCGCAGAACTGATTTTTGTCTCTAGTACAGAGATTTGAATTTGTGTCTTGCAAAAATTTGTTGGACATGTGCATTTTTTGTGAAAGCAATCAAACGATGAACTGTTCTGCAAGGCAGGACTTGTAGAAACAATAAGTTCATAATTTCTGGAACTCTTTTGTGTGATAATAGATCATTTCTGGTATCAAGTATGATCAGTCTGTTGATCAAACTCATATTTCTATTCTTGCTTGTATGTAAGTACACAAAGCGAGCACACTCTTCACAATAATACATTCAGTGAAAATAGTGGATTAAATAAACCATTAGTAGGCTCTGCAAAATTAGTCATTCAAGCAAAGTATAAACCAACCGATTTAAAAGATGATTAACTGCTATTTTAAAAACTTGAGGATGTAAAACATGAGAATAATATTGTACCAACCAGAAAAAGTCATCTCTTCACGCAAAGGTCAGTCTCATACAGCTGAACTCCATCCAGTCTGTAACCTCTTCCCTTAACAGAAGGGGACATAATTCTAATGGCATGAATTAGAAGATCATAGGAGACATATTCAACAGTGTAGGTGATAAAGTAGCTGTATAGAAAATGTATAGGGAATAGAATTGTGTGATCATGAAGGAAACGCTGTGAGCAGACAGAGCAGACTGGAAATCACAGGGCAGTGGCGTGTGAAGGGCAGGCAGTCACGGTCTCTGAAATCCACCCAAACTGCAGCTTTTTTGGTTCTGGCCGCTCGCCAGGCAAGAAGAGGTTTCGAGTTCGTTCTGTGCGTCACGCTTCTGGGGTCAGAGGTCAGGCACACACCCTCCGGAACAGGAGCACGCCGGCCACGGCCAGCAGGGTGAGCAGGGAGATGATCAGGCTGGCGATGTACAGCAGGACCGGCGGCTTCATGGAGCCTGGAGAGGAGGAGACAGAGCGCTGCAGTCGCCGACACAAGACCTGAGCGAGGCATTTCAGCATGATCTGTTTGGAGCGACGGAGGATCGTTGTTGAAAGGGGTTTAGATTTGATTTAGATTTGTGGATTTCTGCTTCTAACTGTAGGGCAGCGTGGTGGCGCAGTGATTAGCAGTGGTCCCTGACAGCACTAGAGCCCCTACGATCAATTCCGGACCTGGGGTGCTGTCAGGGGGGAGTTTGCACGTTCTCCTTGTATACATGTGGATTTCTAGCGGGTGCTCCGGTTTCCTCCCACAGTCCAAAGACACTATGGTGGGTTAATTGGCTTCTGAGAAAATATTTCCCAGTGTGATTGTGTCTCTGTCTGTGTCTGTGTGTGCCCTGTAATGGACTGGCATCCCATCCATGGTGTACCCCACCCTGCTCCCATTGCTTGCTGTAAGGCTCCCCACGACACTGCATTGGATAAAGTGGTTAGAAAATAGAAGGATGAATAAATGGACTAATATCCTACATATAAAGATTGTGTCAATGGTTATCACCCTTTATCTGCAATAAAAGCCAAATATGTCCTTTATAAGACCCATAATTTAAAACAAACTATTGTTTTTTTTATTAAAAGTTACCATTTGCCTTAAAAAATAAAGCATTACAGGTTTATCTGGAGAATTAAGCACAATTATTTTTTTATTCATGACCCTAGTGACCCACATCAGAACAGCATAGCATTCTCATCTCGAAGCAGAACGAGTTTGATTTTAGTCTAGCTCCTTACTGATTGAGATGCTTTCTCCTGGGAGGCGGAGGTGGGAGTCGTACATCAGAAGACAGGTGTAGGTCTCTACCTCCTCAGAACTGGAGATTGTCAGCTGGCTCTTTATGACCACCATTCCACTGTCCGGCACATATTGCACAAAACTGCTTGCCGTCAGTGAGGTATTGACTTTTCTCCAGACCAGCTGCACTTTATCAGGCCTGGCAACCACAACACGACACGAGAGGGTAATATTCTTCCCCAAGCAAGGAGACTGAGACATCTGGATGGGCTCTGTTAGAGAGGAAACAATTGTGAATGTAATCCTACTGTAAAAAGGCAGTAGGTTCAGACAAGATGGAGATTCTTATCTGAACTATATTCCCCAGAATGCTGTGGGGAATGAGCTGCTGCCCTCGGTCACCTGACCAGTCGCTAGGAAACAAGTGGTCAGGTGATAGTTCAGAAACCAGGAAGTAAAAGCTTTTAGTAATGGTCTGATCAGCTGTTTGTGAACAGAACATAGATCTTTTCTGTGTGATGTCACCAGATGGAAGAAAGAAGTGATCAGCTGAACTGGAACTTGTGTGGATCTGTGAGTTTTTTAGGAGTATTTTTTATGAGTCTGGGAAAGAGACTGTTTGAAACCATATTTAGGAAGCTGGTAATGTTGTGAGCTGGCCAGCAGTATCAATAGAGAGGGGACAAAAGAAGTGATTTTGATTGTTTGCTTGTATTTGTGGTTTGCTAATTTTTCACTAAATGAAAATATAACTCTGGCTTCTACCGGCTTTTGTGTCCATTTTTCTGGACCCCACTATTTGTAAAGACCCTGTTACAGCAACCCAACCCCTGGGAGTGTCACACTAGGAATGGGTTTGGTACGTGTGCCCAGCTGTCTGAAGCATTGCCACAACACATACTGTAGGGAGTGAGAGCTGGCTTATTAGATTATTACAATGCATTTGACCTCCATGTATATTCTTGGAAACCTGTTAGAGGTGCACCTTTTCCATTGATTTGTAAAACAAAATAACAATAAACTCACAGTCAATTTTACTGTATGGCTGTCGTAAAATGAATCAATTATTTTTTCTGCAAACCCCCTTTCTCTCCCAGACAAACTGCAACATAAGAAGGGTTACCAATGAGAGGAGGCTATTTGTCCCATTTGAGCTGGATTCAAGGATCTCCGCTAGCTCTTTCCTGCAAGATGCCCGGGTACAGGCTTTGGCAGTATACTTGTGTAGCTTCTCCCACACTCCCCTGTGTAAAGGGCTTCCTGTTCTCAGTTAAAAATACACATCTGCACAGTTTCCGTTTGTGCCCTCCAGTCTGTTTGGCCCTCTGCCTTTGATGATTTTTAATACAGGTCCCCCCAGTCTTCTCTGTTCAAGACTGGAAAGCCTCATTTTGATTGTAACTAGATTCACATGGAAGGGAATGTGGCCAATGGGCAGGCTCATCACCTTAGAGAGCTCCTAAGCTCTTGGCTGCTACTAGTGTAATTGATGGGACTTTTAATTATAAGATCACTTTATTGGCCATATACAGTTTCTTGCATTAGGAATTTGTCTTTTTGCAGACCCCAGCTTGCTTTCCATGAGTCACACAGACAGGGAGAGAAGCTTGGGGTCAGAGCGCAGGGTCAGCCATTGTACAGCGCCCCTGGAGCAGTTGGGTTAAGATGGAACTTCAAAAGGCTATAGGAAATAAATTGTATTATAATAACAGAGTAGGATTCCTCAGTCAGCCGCGGGATACGAACCGGCAACCTTCCAGCCACAGGCACAGATCCTGAGCCACAGAGCCACCGCTCTGCCCCTAAGTTGAGAGAGTTTGCAGTCTAACATAATAGGACTGTAGAGGATCAGCCTTATGGCGCCCCCTTGGGGAGAGGTTAATTAAAACAATTAGAATCTTATTATAATACAATTTATTTCCTATAGCCTTTTGAAGTTCCATCTCAAAGTGCTTTACAGTACGTGTAAAATAAGTTCAAACACAGGAAAATGGTTATAAGGATAACGAATTGCACAATAAGCACACATAAGAGAGATCTCTATTTTCAGCTTGCAAGGAAATGAGTCTCCCTTTTGAGTGGGCTGAAGCTTTGCTAACGAGATTTCTCCCCAAGGCCCTCTCTGTTGGTAAAAAGGTGGCTACGATGCTAATTGGTTTCACAACAGAGTCTCCCTCTGAGACTCTTCTCTAAACTTTCCCAACAATTAAGTCTCTGTCTGAGATGTGCATGTCCGGAGCTCACAAGAGCCCCAGCATAAGACAAAACCGGGTCAAGAAGAGAAGGCAGACAGGCTACATGAATTACTTCCAGCTTTTCCAAACCTTGCCCATATCCCTGATTGTAACCTCCTCTAAATCATCTATGTTAAAATGTAAAGCCATTAGTACCATGAAGCCTGACAGCTGTTGCTCTCAGGGCTCGATACTGGGCTCCTTGCTCTTCAGCATTTACATGTTTCCACTTGGTCAGCTTTTTAAATCACATGGCCCCAACTATCACTTCTATGCTGACGCAACTCAAATCTACATCCATACCAAACCTGACACTGATGTGGCTGTCTCTATTCTAATTGCATCTCTGACATAAACACTTGGATGACTCAACATTTCCTTCATCTAAACTGTGACAATACTGAAGTCATGCTTATTGGCACCACCCATCAACTTCATAAAAAACAATCCTGTACCCCTATCTGTAGATGGTTCTGTACTGGAGCTTCAGTCTAAATCGAAAAACGTGGGCATTATTTTTGATCCAGGCTTGACATTTGACCCACATGTGCAATATATTGTCAAAAAATCATTCTTTCCCCTCAGAAATATCGCCAGACTATGTCCTGTGTTATCACTAACTGTTGCTGAAAGGTTGATCAAAACATTTGTCTTCTCCCGAATTGAAATCCACATTGAACAAACTGCAGTATGTCCAAAATTCAGCAGCCAGAATCCTGACCAGGTCCAGTGCAAGTGATCACATTACTCCTATCCTGGAGTCCTTGCAAAGGCTTCCTGTCAAGTTTCGTGACTTCAAAATCCTCCTGCTCACCTTAAGGCTCTGCCTGGCCTGGCGCCTTTGGCACCTTTGCTCCTACTTTAGTCAGTACCCCCATTTACTCTCTCCTCTCATTGTGTCTCCTTTCCATTGGGCAAATCTTGTGTGCTTTGAGAAGCCACCTTTAAAGGCGCTATATAAAATAAGGTTTATTATTATTATTGTTGTCAGAACTAAAACATATTGCTCCTTTTTACAAGCCATGATTAAAACAACAATAATAAACATCACCTCGTCGTTTTTATCTCACGTTTTCGGTAACGGTTTTATATTTGACTTGATCTTGTGCGCCCCCGAGTGGCTATTTTGAACCCTACACCACAGCTCGGAGCCTTCACTCTTTTGAGGGGACCTGCACTCCCCCCAAAAAAAGGCACTACAGGGGTTCATCTGCTCTTTACAAAAAAAAAAACGGCTCTTGTATTGCAGATTCATTTGTGTCTAGGTGAAAGCCACATATTTCAGGCTAACAGATAAGACTCCAGGTCTCGGCCTCTCGTTACCGTGCACGAAGAGCAGCGTGCCGTTCCCCGTCAGCCGGTAGTAGGTCTGGTTGAGGAGGCAGGAGAGCGCGCAGTAGTAGGTGTTGTGGTCTCCGGGGCGCACGCCGCGGATCTCCAGGGACAGGCTGTCGTCTCCCCGGGGGTTCATCACGACGCGGCCCCTGTGCTCAGCGGAAGAGAGCTCGTTCTCGGGATAGACGTTGGCCGTCTTGTTGGCCCGCTGACCGTAGTACCACTGCGGAATCCTGCGCTCAACGGCCGCGCTTCCGGGAGAAATGGAGCAGGGCAGAACAGCTGTCTCCCCGCGCAGGGCGAAAGCCACAGCGGGCTGGAGCACTTCCAGAGCCGGGGCCACTGCAACCCACAAACAGACTCATCACCTGCAGCTGTCGCCAACGACACCGTCGCGCTAACGATGCAGTTGACGACACGTTATTACCTCTGCAGCACACCACGGCGGCGAGACACACAGCCTTCCACATGGTTCTGAAAACCCGCTACGGAAAGAAGAAAGATCAATGTTAATTTGGGGGGTTTCCAGATCCCGAGGGGGGGGGAGTTGTCCTTAGTGGAAACGCATCTAAAAACAGATTCGTGAGAAAAATTGGACCCCGGATGTTTAACCGCTGTCGTTAAGAATCGCCTTGTTGTTCACAGGACAACAAAAAAACGAGTCTGAGAGGCTGTTCGTGGTTTGAGTGCCCACTTTCCAGATGGGCAGCCCTGAGTCCCCGCTGGCAGGTTCCCATCATTCACAAGACTGTCCCTGCTTTGGATTCGCTTGGCTCTGTGAGAACAAATGACCAGTTTAAAACCCCACAGAGCCACAGAGAGCATGTCCATCTTTCCCCCTGACTCGCCGATAGCTATCCCTTAACAATCCGATCACACTTACCAGGGCGAAAACAAGAGCCGAGCAGAAGATGGCAGGCGGCTCTTTGAAAAACAAGACGGGACGAGGCCGATGGGTAAGGTGGGGGTGGTCTTTTCCAGCGTTTCTGTTGGCGAGTTGTAGCTTCAAAGCGTCTGTAGGTGTTAACCTTTATAGGTCTGAGTCACCCCTGGATGTGTACCTAAGACAATGCAATGGCAGTTAGGGGTAGCTGAGTGGAGATCAATCAAAGCTGTGCCCGTTTAGCAAAACATTGCAAAAAAAAAACACACAACACGTCGCAGCGCTGGTGGAGTCTTTCCTGTGCACATTGCTGAGCCCTTTGATATCCGAGGTTTCATCTGAAAGGCCTCTAGCATCTCCTACCCTCGGGGTGACTCACCCTGTTTCTGGGGATCCCCCAGTCCAGCAGGTTCTATGGATCACCACTTCACAATGATCGCTTTCTCTTTGGGGCAAAAGGATGGTCTGGTCAATTTCGTGGTCCAGAGATCAGGAGAAATGAAAACAAGCACGCTCCGCAGCCCTGATTGGCCTCTACACAGCTGACGAACGTGATTAAACCAGTTAGGCGAGTTTGATCAATTTTCCTGAGTCAAACTGATCATTGGAAAATGACCCAAGACCTGCCAAACGAGCAAAACCAAGAGACTTGTGCCTGGCGGGGGAAAGGCACAGAAAAGGCAAAGAAAGTGTCAGTCCTTTGTTCTTTTCTTAAGTACAGAACAGAATGAATATGGCTGTTTTGTTCCAGTTACGGATAGCTTGTCACGATCAAAGTAACGGCTCTGTATGACAGCTATAACACGAATAATCTCTACATTACGGCCTTGTGGATTACCAAACATTGGCTACCTATCTTCTATTTTTTCACAGTATGAGACATTCTATACACTTGCAAAATACACTTTATTTTGCAGGAAATAAAAAAAAAACCAAAACATTTTTTAAAAACAAATCTTATATCAGGGACCATATTAAAGCCCTGAGTTCTATTTTAATCTGAAATTCCCAAACTTCAAACAAGCAGCTGTCCGAGCAGTAGTAGAGTAGATTTGTATGGCTGTATTGTTTTCTAAACACTTCACAGGAAGTTCTGCTATGCTGGTCAGAGACTTTTCGTCCGAAAGAAACAAACAATGGCGATCTGAGTTTAGGCATCACTTATATGATCAAATAGCCCGTCTTCAACTTTCTATTTCATTTTGTCTGAAACAGAACAACACATCTTTTAGGCACTTACCTCAGGTTATGAGTCAAGACTTGAGCAGTTGACGAGGTTTGTTTCTTTATCAGTGCTGTGTGGGTTTAGCATCCTGCCCTCACTGGCCTCGAAGATATTTCTTCAAACTGAAAACAAGCCACAGTTTCTTCTCCTCCTCTTTGTCCGTTCTCTCTGAATCGTTTTGATCGCTTCTCCCTCCTCCTCCCCGACTACCACACACACACACACGACACACATTTGCAAGAAAATGTTGTACAGGATGCTGATAAACAAAACGTCCTGCAGGAATGCTCACTTCAGATAGAATTGACACCTTGCCCCATAGACTCTGGGCACTGAGACTGGAGACTTGTTAGAAATTAGGTAATACTTTGTCTAAGTAGACACTAGAGAGAGAGAGAAGCTTCTACCCATAAACAGCTCGTTGCAATGCCTTAGAACTCAATGCACCTCTGCACTATAAACTGTTGACTTGATCTACCATGTGTTTGTTGTTCTCTCTCACATATTTAGTCTTTCTGTTGTTTGTTGACTGTACGTACTATCGATTGTTATGTACTGTTCTGTAATGTACTGTCTACATTGTGTGGTGCTGTCTGCGGTATTGTGCATGTCCTGGCGCAACGAAGAATTCCAATGGGATTGTGAAATACGAAGTGTACCAAAGGCAGTGCATAGTTGTTAGGGGCTAGCTGAGTGGATATCACGGCTGTGCATGCTTAGCAAAATATTGCAGGGCTGCTGGAGTCTTTCCTGTGCACATTGCTGAGCCCTTTGATATCTGAGTTTCACCTTAAAGGCTTGGGGTGAGTCACCCTGTTTCTGGGGATCCTCCATTCAAGCAGGTCCTATGGATCACTACTTCAATTATCGCTTTCTCTCTGGGGCAAAACAATGGTTTGGTCAATTTAGTGGTTTTTAGATCATTGGAAACAAACTCAAAAGCAAACATGTGGCAATAAGCTCCTCTATTCTCTACTACCATATCCTATTAACATTGTCATGATATACTATGTGCAATCTTCCTGCTTGCTCTCCTTACATACTGGTCTTGTGAGATCTTGGAAACTAAGAGGGGCTGGGTCTGATCAGTACGGGGAGAGGAGACCTCCGGGTAAAAGCAGGTTGAAGCTGGTTGAAGTGGTGCTGGAAGACCGCCCCCTGCTGGTCATCCCTCCTGGACCACAATTTCTAAATGGGACGGGGAAACACAGTGCTATAGGAGGAGCTGTCTCTTCAATGAAACTTTAAACTGAGACCCCGACTACTTATGATCATTAACGAGTCATCAGGAATACGTTTTGTAAGAGTGGTGTGTAAACCCTGGAGCCACCTTCCGCCCCCAAGATGGGTGCTGTTCTTCCGTGGTGGGTGAAGCAGTCCTTTGTGCAGAGCACTGCTATCTGCTGGGATGAAAAGTCTTACAAATATGAGCCCTAGGAATTCCCTACATTGGACTGGGCAGATCTTGAAAATGGATGGATTGCCTAATACAGTTCCATCTGCCACCACTACACTACCACTGTTTCCTAACTGATATTGGGGAACACCCTCATATAAAGGCTGGCAAAGTAACTCCTTCCTCACCTCCCTTTCTCAGTACTAATAAATACGACACCCTTCGTATTTCACAAATCTTATGCTAAGTCATATGCTACAACACAAAATGTTGCCATTTGGAATTAAAATAGTAATATTGGCCTTTCTGGTTTCTTCTATTCTTCTATGCCTTTCAGGAATAAAAACAAACTGTGACTACTGTACAGTATATCATAACTTTAATGGTGATAACAATGACAATGATAATAACTGTTCATTTATATATTTTTTTTTCATTATATCATTTTTACTTGGTCCAGGCTCTAGGCTCATCCACATTCCCAGGATTTTCACACTGTATGCCAGGCTTTTTCAGCAGCAGCCCTTCCTCTTTGGACCCTGGTGTTCCTGACCTTACTAAAAATACAGCTTCTATTCATGTTTTTAAATCTTGCCTCAAAGCTGACTGTTCAATGGCCATCCGTTTTTAATTTCCTTCTTATAATTTCACATTTATACTATATACTATATAAACGTCTACTGTATTTCTTGTTTACTGTAGTTTTTTATGTATATAATTGATTTCAAGTGCCATGAATATTCTGGATTAAAAGGTGCTAAATAAGAATAATATTGACTGACCATGGTCAGTGGACTCTAGTACTTCAATGGAATGGGGGTGAAAGATTTCAGGCAAAACAATCAATCAGGCATTGCTAGCTGATACAGCCATGAGCCTTTTGGCCTCCTCCTCCTCCTAAGGCCTCTTCCAAAGTGTTTTCCCAATGAAATGGGCGAAAATTGTGTTTTTGTACATGCACTGCTCTCTTTCAGACTTGCTGACCAGGTTCCCCAGCCCCACGTCTTGTCCGTGAGGAATGTCGTACGTTTTGTAGTGGCACACAAGCCACTTCTCATCAATGTTTTTGTACAGCAGCAGGCACAGCTTATGGTCATGGTTCTCCCCGCTGAGGTTGCACTCTTTCACTCGGCACGTCCAGGACGGGCACGCACTGCTGGTGCACGGGTTTCCACGGTAACGGTCTTGACAGCTTCCCTGAGTTGTGATGCTCCAGGAGGTCCTCAACTGAAACAGCCGCGTAGAGAACTCAATGGAGACGCTGGACGAGCAGCTAAAGTTATTCATCTTGCGGGAGCAGCCGAAATTTGGAGAGGTGTAGAGCCGCATGGAGAATGGAGGCGACAGCACATCATGAAACAAGCTGATGGTCTCGATGGGGAGGGAGTTGACCTGGTAGACCAGCACGCTCTGGGAGGAGAATGTCTCCTTCACTTTCTCGGGTAGCGAATCCAGGAAGCCGGGGTCGTACACGTCCTCGGGCGCCATTAAGGGAAAGCGGACGTGCTTCAGAATCTCGTCGGCGTGGCCCTTGTTCTGCGACAACCACCTCTTTACGGCTCGGAACAGCTCGAACTCGCTCTCCACCACCAGATCGGGCCGGCTCAGCAGGGAATCGAGATATTCCGGCTCTAGAGAGAGCCACTCTGGGGACTTGGCAACAGCCATCATGTTCAAGGCGATGAATTTGTTGCATGCTTCCTCTAGCTCCTTAAAGTTCATGTATGCTGCCTGCTGGCACCAGGCAATGGCTTGGCTGATGGGACCATTGGTGACGTTCTTCAGGGCAAATTTCTCACAGCCCTGCTTCACAGCCAGGACGCCGTACTTATCCGAGAGCATGTAAATGGGGAAGAGGTTCTCCGCATTGACTGTGATGCAGCCAGTGTAGAAGTAGCGCAGGAAGTCCTGGAAGTAGTCCACGCAGTTGTCCTGCTCTTTCAGCTGGATCACGTTCTGCTTGCTCTCCTGCCAGGAGTCGTTGGAGAACATGTTGCGGAAGAAGTCGCTGCCGATAGCCAGGATGACTCGATGGGCCTTCAGGAAGACCTTCTCATTGATGACCAGCTGGACGTCGCAGAAATCCTCACTGTTAAAGAGCTGGCAGAGCTCCTCCATGATCTCTTGGTGGTTGTCTAGGGTCTCGGAGGGCATCTTTGTATCCATTTCCTGCACCAGGAAAACCAGTAAAAGCCATGTTAATACATTGCAGTTTCCCACTGAATAATGGAATCAATCCACCCAAGTCTAAATTAACCCAGTTGAATGCAGTAGATGTTTTAATTGTGGAACTGATAATGCTGACCTTCATATAAAGGAATAAATAAATACTTTTTAGGAAGTGAAACAGATTACTCATGGCAAGTTCACTGTGCTTTGTGGCTAATCTGTCTCCTTTGTATCAGACTGTGGCTATGCAGATGTAAAGGATGTTCTCTATAGATTGTAAGGCTTAAAGTAACAGGTTTGCATTATAGTATAAACCTGAACTATGACCAAAATTCCAATAAAGCTAAATGTAAGGTTCTTATTGCATCTCTTTGGAAACATCTTAGGTAGAAATGAACAGATCAGTCTGTTGCACTGCCTGGTTCAGTTCCAATTCCTTTTTTCTTGTTCTAGGGTTTCTTTTTGGCAGTCAACAGGCCCAAGGCCATCACAGGGTACTGTAGTCCCTGCTGCTCTCCTCAGGCTCACAGCTGGTGCTTTCAAGAGTGCAGTGTGAACCAGCAGGCCGCCTCCCGTACTCCAGCTTTTCCAAAAACAACAGCAGCACTAAAGGCAACTTAACTTGGCTTCCGATCCGTTTGAAGGGGATCTTGTCCATTCAAACCTGTACGCAACATCCCTGGCGCGGGCATGCGTCTTCCCCAGCGCGTGCAAGGAGACAGTTCTTGCGCCTTTAGAAGCCCCGCGCGTCGAGAGACGCTTGCTTGTAAGACTCCGTGTGCTTACCAATTCAGGTCTCTCCTCCACGGGTTCCACTGCTTTCCTGTGTTTCTTCATACGGCTCTCCAGTCTAGAGCCTGAGAATGTGTGCCTGGAGAAGGAAAAGAGTGCGGGAGAAATGTTTAAGTTTTAAATTTGAGGTTTTAGAGAATATCCTATGAATATGCTAAGGGAGAACCTGACTGTGACGAACAGTTCTTTCCGGACCCTATGCGGACGACACAATCCGACGGAGTGGGGAAACACTGGGGAAACGTCATGCAGGAATACGGGGCTGAAGACAGGGGGGCGTGTCCAAGGTGCGCTGGTGCACGGGGGAGGTGTGGCCGAGGCGAACAATCCAAAAGAGTAGTCCTTAGAGAGTATCCAAACAAATGGGTAAGTCCAAAACCAGGAGATCCATCAGAACAAGGAATTAAAACACGAAGGCCGGGTCGGAATCGGCAGACAGGGAACAGGAACGGGAACCGAGATTAAAACCTTAACGGGACCAGGCGCTTCCAGGTCCCGGACTCGCACGGTACGGAAACCAGATGCAGAGCCCGGATAAGCGTCAGCGCCTGGCTTTTAAGGTGGGCTGGGAATATGAAACAGGTGCACAGAATAAAGTCTCACGTGAAAGGGCTGGAGCACCCTTAAGGAGGGGGGACTATAATCGTGACACTGACCAGGTGAAGACTATTTTCTGCTGGGAGACGAATGTGCATGCCAGGTTCCAGTTTCTGTAGCCAATAATCTGATTTGCTTTCCGACGCCCCGGAATAAAAATGGCATTTTAGGAGTTTTAAAATAGTGGGAGAGGTGTGCTTACATCCCACATGGATTCACCACCACTGGAGTCTGCATGTCAATGTGTCACAGGGGGAGCTGCAAAGCCAACCCCCTCTGCTGTCCCAGAGACAAGCAGGGGCTCCATGATCTACTTAATCAGAGTGGAGGAAGAGCCCTTTGAGTGACACGAGCCTTGCAGACAGATGGCATTGGGAAGGCCGTGTACGGAGTGCCAACGGGAATTGTTTCGCTAGAGCTGAATAAATGCAAGTGTCACGTACTCCAAGGGGAAAAAAAGGTAGGAAAAGACCCTGTTGCGGAGAGTGAGAGAGAAAGCTGAATTCCTAGGCGAACGTTATCCAAGTCGTGAGGCTAGAGCGAGGTTTGGAGATCAGAGGCGGCGGGTCAGAAATCCAGGGGGTCACAAGAACAAACGAGGAGGCGGGGACAATCGCTAACTAGATACACAGCTCAGGCTGAGGAAACCCAATAGTGAGCGAGGACAGGTTGCAGAGCGCGAGTTTAAATAGACAAAGTGCGTGAGGTTAGTTCGTGGGTGCTCGTGGGAACGCAAGGGTATCTGCATGCAGTTTGTGACAGCAAGTTAAACAATTCCTTCCCGGCGGTGGAATATTCTATTTTCATGACATATGAAACTTTGGTATCCGTGAGCGGTGTAGTTCCAAGACTGCAGGCTCTCAAGCATATTCAAATAGTCACAACGCAACCAAAGGAGAGGGTTTTCTGTACGTGTTGTCCACGAGATCTTCTCCAGCTCAAATGTGCTGTTTCACTTCCCTGTTCAAACCACACGGGGCAGGCTCCATTTCATAATGTCTTTATTATTGATATTCAGGGCCAGGATGTTGTGCATTGTGTGCAATTCTCTCATCTCCTAATTCCTTTACTGGGGGAAGACATTAAAAGGAGATCTCGCCAGATTTGCTCACTGTTGTTTTGCTTACTGCCTACACACCCTTTCTAACGTATCACACTCTGTGGCCTAACAGCATGAAATCAAGACACATTAAAATCGAAATGTATTTGACCTTTTATTTACACACCGTGACACACAACCTCCAGGGGAAAAACACATGCTCCAGCATTCGGGAAAATAATTACAACTGAAAATCGAGAGCGTTGTGTTGGATACATGTACACCCCCCTGAGTTGGTGCGTGCAGAGGTACTTTGTAGAAGAACGTTTTGCTGGAATGACAGCCAGAATTCAGTTTGGATTGGTCTGTACCAATTCAGCACTCACAGATTTGGCCATGTTTGTCCACCCCTCCTCACAGAACTGTTCAAGCGCAGTTCAATTGTGAGGGGGGCGGTTGATGGACTGCAATCTTCAAGTCATTTTAAAGGACTTTTTAAAGACACTGTACTGTATGTTGTGGCACACTGTCTAAAACAAGGAAACCTGTTTTTTTTTCTAGTTTATGTAGTAGTTTTTCAATGTGTAGCAGATGAAACACTTGCTTATCATTGCCAGTGAGAGCTGCTGTAAACGATCTAACGGAAGACACCAGGTTACAAGATTTACATTTACAGCTGTACGCCTGCGGTTCAAACTCCTGGCAGGAGAGCACTTTTTTCAGTTTTTTTTTCGAACCTAGTTGGTTAAGAATAAAGTTTCTCTTTTTAAATAACGTCTACAGGGTTCAACATCAGTCAAATTCTGAGCAATATTCATGAATCATCTTGCAGGTAACGTCGAGCTGACAATTCGCGCTGGCCCGCGGTGTGAGACCTGGATGGCGAGACGCTTTTTTTTTCCTGACGGAAGCTCTGCTTACCAGTTTACTCCTGCGAAAAGTCCCCCAGCTTGCTAGCAGTGATTTCTGTTGCTTCGAGCTTTGAAAGGGGGGCAGGAATGGCGGAGTTTAGTTATGAGAAAAAAACACTTTCAATGATTTATGTCGTGCGGAGTACAATGTATCCTTGACTGTTGTCCCCGAGTCAGACAGTCAGCTGACCAAAACCAAAAGGCGGGTTTTACACCTTCACTTTCGATATGACTGTTCCTCACAAAGTCAAGTCAGGAAATACAAAAACTGTCCGTTCGTGAGACGACAGACCAAGCAAGGTGATGTTTAACCTTACAGATGTTCACAGTCTGGGTTTTATCTGGATTTCTTTGTGGAATGAAACATGAGCATGAAGGGGAGAATGTTCCTTTTGTTATGCCTTCTTCTGTTTTTCTCTCTCTGTCCTTTCCTGCCCTGCTGCTTTATTACAGACATCCAGAGTTGACACTGAACATGGAACATGAACGTTCACTGGAATGCAAATTCTTACCCAAGATTCAGATTAATACCATAACCTTTAACCCTCATCAATCTCATCCCATAAAGAGCTCTACAGTACCTAGCAGACCTGTCTCTTCACGTGTCTCAGGAGTCCATTGTCAAAAGCCAGTTGAGGACACCTTCTCACCGATGCCTTCGACTGGACAGACTAGGCCAGCAGGTTAGCTTGTGTTAATATCAAGCAGACCACAGAAAATGCAAGTGATCAAAGAGTGTGCTGAAAATCGTGCTCTATAAAAAGACTTGTCCTTGTATTATTTTGCATAAGCATTTCTTCTCTGCCTCCTAATGAGCTATCAATTTTAGGAATGCTTTATCTACTGTATGTTAGTTTTAAAAGTGCAAAATAAAGAGCCCCTTGAGCAAAACAAGGTAACAGATTTTGTAATAATAAGTTTGCAATTCTAAGAGCCCAAAGATAGGCAAGGAACAAGCTTACATGAATACAGTAAACCTGTGGTTTAACGTACTTCTCTTTAACAGACTTCTTATTTAACGGACAAAATCTGCTAAAGGGTTTTTTTTTTCCATTAAATTCAGAAACGCTGACTTCCCCACAATAACTGAAAAATGCACAAATAATAAAACAACGTAAAAATAAACACTGCATAGGTTTAAAATTCAGGCATATCACTTGTGTAGGTCAATTGCCTACAAAGGCTGTTCTGTATGCTTAAGCAAATTTTATACAGTCTATTTATAACACATTAAATAAATAGCTTGCATATTTACGTCCAAAATAGGCACAGGAACAATTTTCACTGACTGCGTTCGTTGCAATTGTGAGCATAGATCAAAAGATCCAAAAAGCATATATAGTAAATAAACATTTCTCATATTTTGGCTGAGAAAATGCCATTTGTGATTTACCAAACACCACCCCCCGCCCCCCATATTAGCCTTTTAAACAAAGGGTTTACTGTGCTATATAACTGCCTCAGGAGCTTTCACCACTGAACACCCGAAGGAGACAAGTGTCAGTCAACTTCTTCACATTCATCTTGGCTGTGGAAGAGAGAGCTGAACCCACTCCTGTTATTCTAGACTTTACCACTCATATGTTCTAATCTTTTCCACCCCAGGCTTTTTCCAGGACAGCCTCCGCATCCTTCTCCAGCTCATCCATAGCGGACTTCAGCATCCTGTACTTGGCCGAGAACCGTTTGTTCACTTTCTTCCCCCCTGCGGGGGAGGAGTCCAGCACCCTGGCCGCCGCCGAGTCCTGGCTCTTCACCTGGGCCAGCAGCTTCTTCACCAGGCTCCTGCTGACCTCCGAGGAGATCTCAGACGACAGCGCCGCCCTGAGCTGCTCCACGGGCTGGTCCACCTGCTTGGCCAACCTCTCCAGGGAGGCGTGGTCCAGGCCGAAGGACTCCTGGATCCTGGTGAGCAGCGTCTCCAGGCCCCTGAGGTCCGGCTTGGAGCCCACGCCAAGGAAGGGCACAGCGGGCATCCCGCCGGAGGTGTGGGCCTCCCTCATGATGTCGTTCCTGAAGGCCTTGCTCTTCATCCTCAGCACCGGGGCCGCAAAGGCGGGGAGGGAGATCAGGAGCTTGTTCATCTTCATCTCCGAAAGGTCCGTCTGCAGGGCTTGCAGGAGGTCCACGAACTCCAGACGTCTCAGGGCCCAGGAGGAGACCAGGAACAGCCTGGGCGCCTCCATCCCCCTCGTCTTGAAGCCCTCCACGCTGCGCCTCTTCCTCTCCTGCAGGCACTCTGGAGATTCCCCCGGGGAGGCCAGAATGATGAAGTACAGGGGTTTGTTGGTTGCCATGACAGCCGCGGAGAGCGTGTAGTAGCTGTGATCGATGGTCTCCGAAGCGGCGATGATGAAGGAACAGTAGCGACCCAGCCTCATGTCTTCCAGATACTCCTCCGGGTCGAAGTCCGGCGCTGGGGGTGCTGGCAGGTCCCAGATTCGGACGTCTGGATACTTAGGGTTGGGGTACTTGGTGGGCTCGGCGGCGGGTTCCTCTTGACCGCCGGGGGCCGCTCCTTCTTCGTCGTCCCTCAGGCCCCTGACGGCATTGATGAAGGACGACTTGGCCCGGCCCCGCTCCCCCGCCACGGCGATGTTGGTGGTGTTGCTCACCAGGTCCGCGATCACCTCCTTGGCGTCGAGCTGGCTCTTGTCCAAGGCCTCCGTCGCGTTCTTCAGCTTCTTCTTCTTCTTCGACGTCTCCGTCATGGCGCAGCTAAAGACAAAACGAAAACGTCTTGCATCAGGTGAGCTCTTAGACTCTGCGATCCGTTTGATCTCCTAAAACAAGTAAACGCAGTCTGACATTTGGGCCTTCATGCTCTTGAAATGAAACGTGAGAACTGTGGCACGCTCAATTTGGGCCCTGGATTTTAAACACCTGGGCAGAGACGTCAACCTACGTTTTACCCTCTAACACCCATTAGATCCCACTCTCGGTCTGTCAGGGTGACGTCAGAAATTGATGGGCATCAGACTCACTGGCCCGATCAACAGCACCGTAAAATCGTCGGCAACTGGAGCCCTAATGCGATGCTGAAAATGAAACGAAGGGTGGGACCCCGTGAATTTAGTATTTATACTGTTTCTGAACGGTTATCTCTACATCCTATATCCCAGGCGCTCTCCATGTCTAGTTTTTCCAAATCAATTCCTAATGACTTTGGTTAAACTGAATCCTTTGACTGAACTCTTTATCCGGTTTTTAAAACGTTTAACCACTTCTCCTCGTCCTTAAATACCGACACCTCACACGCTGTGCCGCTCCCGTTAGGTAAATCCCCAGGTCGAGCAATAGATTCGATCCGTGTCTCACGCGTGACGCAGGGCTCGGCTGCTCCTCACTCAGCCGGGCGTCGACCTGCGCGAGCGACCGGGAGCGGCTTCCGCCAATGAGAAAGCGCCTCGAGTGTGACGTCACCCCGAGTCCTTCCACCCCGCCGGTCCCTTGAGCAGTCAGGACGTCATCCCTAGAGACCTCCTCCCACCCCAGCCGGTTGTAAAAAGTCAAACGATTAGAAGGCAATGTGTCTCGACGGGTGTATTTCAGATCTGCCTGATAAGGCTGTTGAATGTGTAGCGGACAGAAGATTCCGTGTCCTTGGAGCGAAACATTCTTCCCCGCTACACGTTCACAGAGCTCACAGACACTCCTTCTCCTTTCTTCCTGGGAATGCAGGTGTCCAGCGACTTCGAAATTATTATTTTTATTCACTGTATTTGTACAATACAAAAGGCACGGACGTCTTCTAGGAATATTGCTGGGAAAGACAAAAAAAACACCGTTTCCTCGTTTCTGTCATTTCTCATGTGGAATGAGACAGACTTCGAAAAAAACATGGAAGCAGAAACCTTTTTTTTTATGTGTTAAATCTGACGACTACAGGCGAAAGAAGCGAGGTTATAAGTGTGTTTTAATACACCCTGAATTTCCGTATTGCAATTTGCTGTGGTCCGGGAGTAAACTACTTCATTTCCACAGATGTCCGGTTCGGGTTTGAATTCGGGACGCTGTTAGACTTCATCCGAACGAAAATGCATACCGGACCTCTTCTGTTTTTGTTTTCGTGTTAGGTGGAAAGAAAAAAGCCCTTTCCTATCTCACGAAGCCCGTCTGTGTAATTGCTTTTTTCGTTTTAACGACGGAACAGGAAATAATTCTGTTATTGCGCATTTTTTTGTATTCCGCACAGCAGGGACGCAATATCTTTTTAATATCTCCGAGGGTCTCCAAATAAATGCCCCTGGGCTGTGCTTGTGTTCCTGCTTGCTGCCTGTGTGCAGAAAAAAAAACAAAATCTTCGACAGATGTTTGTGCCGAATCCGCAAACTCTTGAGAACCAACATCTTTTTTTTCCGGGACACTTGCACCGGCTTTGAAATAAAAGATAATGTCAACGCGTGAAGAGCGATCTTCATTAATGCCTCGAACGACTCCCGACATTTACAGCCACCGTACGCCTCTGTAGTCATCTCAAGTGCGGGACGACCCGCCACAAAGCCGCCGCTTTGGATATCGCTGTCACCGTTTCGCGTCGCCGCTCTCCGTTCGCCGACCCGGACCCTTTCCAACCGGGTTTCATTCCGTTGCAATGGGCAAGTTTAAAAACAAAAATCGACGTTGGTAGACGGGCAGAAATACTCATCGTAGCAAACATTTTTTTTAAAAAAAAATACATACTTCTCTTTCCGCCTCCTGTTTGTATCGGTACAGTCTTTCTGAGCGTAAAACCATGAAAGAATAAAGTTCGTTTCTGAAGAGCTGGTGGCTCAATCGCTTTAGGTTTTGCCACACCCACAGAGTTCCTTCTTAGAAACCGAGCTTTCGAATTACTCGAAAGAGTCGTATTTGACATTCTTAATTCTTAATCACTTCACACTGATATTAATCTTAACGCTGAATATTAAATACACAGGAGCACATTTGTAGCGTCCATTTTTACTCGCTTTATATGCTGTGTAGTTACTCTGTGCGGTTGTGGGTTGCTGGCTCGTTCTTTCGCTCCAGAAACGGAGGGTTCCCAAGCGAGAAAATGCCTTTTGGCTTTTCTAACCGGTTCGGAAGGTTCGCAGCCAATCGATCCGAGAATCCCATTTAGCCGTCGCCTGAACAAAACCAGGTTATCAGCTTCAACAGCCTGGTTGGCTAGCTTGTTCATAATCCCCCAACTCTTTGTGTAAAAAAAGCCCCCACCCCACTTCAGCTCTCTTCTCAGATATACATGCTCATCCGTGTCATTTCCACTCGTGTCCACCGCTGATTCTGAAGAGGTCGGCTTGGCTTTGTCGCTGCTCTCGAGGATTTTGAATACCTGAACCAGGTACTCCCGTCGTCTCCTCCGTTCAAGACTAAAGCAGTTCAGTTCCTTCAGTCTGTCAGCGCAGGACATACCTTTCATCCCCGCATTATATCCGATTGTCATTCCAGAGCAGCAATATCGATTCGACACCGTAGTGACCAGAATCGTACATAATACTATCAGCGATGCCCTTCTAGGGATCCTTAACCTCTTGTAAAGTACACTCACCTGTATCATTACCTTGAACTCACGTAGAACCGGGTGTTCCTCTCTCACATACAATATAAAAAGGTGCACACAAATAGTGAACACCGATGCCGACACGTTTTTCTTCCGTTTTAGTGCTCTTTCGCGTTGCCGCACGAATCTGCCTTCCGCGACCTGTTCAATTTCGCAATGCTGGTTTAATCAAGCAGATTAACATGACTATGCCTATTACATGACTATAAAATCCGGTCCTAGTCGCTGACGTCACAGTTTGCGTGTTTCGTCTTGCTCTGTGCGATTGGTAACAGCTAACAACTAACAGCAATAAATAAAACCAAGAGCTGCAACATGAATTTCGCACGCTTTTCCCTGCAGTCCAAGAAGACCGCGGTTTCACAGGAATCCGGATTTCTTCTTACTTGGTATCCAGCTCCTATGAGTAATCTGGTACGGAAGCGCTTTGCTGCCAACAAGGGAAACAGAAAAAAACAGCCCCCCTTATCTCGTGATGACGACATGCTTTTCGAATTATCTTAGTGGAAATGCTCATAGCGATGCTCACTTCAGTGCATGTGCAACCTGTTTACGTTGTGCACTGCGCGCATCTAGAAGCTACCGTGAGCTTGGCTGGCACTCGGGTGTAATGATCGCTGTACAGCGCTGCAGAATTTGTACGGATGTCCGTTCGACGGGGACGGCGATATGATCACTCGTCACCGTGAAATCGGCCCATTTGATAGCACACGCGAACAGAATCCTTACAAGCACGAGGACCAGTTTTGTGGGCTGTAGTTTTGTGGGCAGTGATGGTCCCGTGGTGAACAGTTATACTGTACATGCAGTCGGTCCCACCGCCTCAAACTGCACGGCGCTATCGCGTGGTCACGCTGGGCACGCGAGAGGTACTATGTCGTCATTGGGAGATCAGGGCGTGAGATACTAGGAGATGAGGGGGAGGAGTGGTTTTGTTCCTTGGAGGCAGCAAAGATATTTTCCCAGGAAAAGTGGGTGACACGGACGGGAGTTGTTAGACCTTCACATCATTGTATCTATTGAAGTAGGTGAATGTAGAAGGATGAGTACAACAATAATTGTTTACACTTATATAGCGCTTTTCTGGACACTCCACTCAGAGCACTTCACAGGTCATGGGGATCCCCTCCACCCCCACCAGTGTGCAGCCCCACCTGGATGATGTGCCAGAACGCGCAGTGTATTTTATGAGGATTATTAGGAGGCCATGATTGATAAGGGCCAATGGGAAATTTGGC